GCGGCCTCCAAGCTGACCTTAAAAAAAAAAAATACATATTTACATATTTATGCTTTTTTTTTTTTTTCTTCCTTCCCTGAAGATCTCGACATGGGTTTGGTTTCGTTGGGGGTGGTAGCCTCTAAATGTAAATTTATTTTTTTTTTCAGAGCTGGAATGTATTGTGCTTAGAAGGTAAAGGGCAACTGTTTCTTGTAGGAGAGAAATTTTCAGCTGGCATAAAAATAGAAGAAAAACCTGTCAATTTTTATTCTTAAATTGCCCTTTGCCTTTCAAAGTTATTTTGGTTTTTTTCTCAGATTTTTTTTCATGATATTAATGAATTAGAAGCTCTTTCTTGAGGATATGTTTTCATATGTAAGGTGCCCTGTCCTCTTCTAACACACTACAAAGTGGGTGTCTCTATACTGTGAGATTCTGGGGGGGGGTTGTGGCTTTTTTTCTTGGGTCTGTCAAGTCTGTGACTTGCTTTTGGGATGTGACAAGATTGGTAGAATGCTGATGTGTGGTCCTGGAAATAGCACTGTCCAGAGTATATCTGAAGCATGTGAATAGATAAGTTCCTTAAAATTGTGATGTGTATTGTTTTTTATAAATTGCCTGTAGGCTCTAATCCTGCACTCCCATTTTTCTAAATAAGGTTAATGGGCAAGCTCAAGTCATATCTTACAGATATGAATTTCTTTGATAGGCTGTTAGGTTGTTACAACCTAAATCTGGTGTTTCTTGCATAATATTAGATATGGACCTGTTGTTTTTCTTTTTTTCTCTTATTTAAAAAAAAAAAACCAAACACTTCCATTTAAAAGATAGCATTCTCACTTTCTACTGTTCTGAGTCAAATTTGGCCCGTTTGCTTCATCTACTTTCTCTTCCAGATAGAGCTGTTAAACTGCTGGGAAGAAATATTCCCTCAATTCTGAGGATGACTAAAGGAGTGGATCCGAAGATAAGCAGAAGGCTTTGCCTTAAACCCCAGGAAGAAAGTAAACCTCAGCCAAGAAGTAAGAGTTTCCGATAAAGATCGTGCTGTTTCATGCCACAAAATAGTTAGGTATCCAGGCTGCAGTCATCTGAAGAGGAATTTGGCTGACATAGGTGCTAATATCCCTGATTTTGTGAGAGGGAACTCTGATCTTTAGACTGAAAAACTGAGCATTAAAGTTAGCAATAAGATCTTGATTTTGAACAAAGCCAGGGTCAATATTTCTTCTGGTGACAATAACACAGCTTTCACTTTGTAGCAGGTCACTAGTATCTTATCTGATGTATGTTGAGGCTCTTCAACTGTGCTCTACAACCAACAGTTCAACCCCAATGTAAACTATCAACGTTTAGGAACATTGTATGACCTAAAAATACTTTTGCAGTTTTTCATAGTACAACCAGCTCCAGCTGTTCGCACAATTGAACCATGCCCCGCAGGAGCGAGTCAGTCTGAATCGCTGGCTTGGTTCATGTTTAAGTGTGGAGTTGTTTAGGTAAAGCTCAGGCCATGAAACACTTTTTCACTATATATGACAGTTACGGTGCTCTAATGAGACTTCTGTTCGTGTAACATGTTTCCTTCTTTGCTTACTGATGCTAGATACAAGAAGCATATGAATGTGAAGCATTTTGCATACTTCTGTATTAAAAGCATAACGCAGCTGTACTGAGTAAGACCAACAGTCTGCTTCAGTGTCATGTTTCCAGTAGTGGCCGGTAAAGGAGGTTCCTTACGTTTTCTGAAGACTAATAGCAATAATGAGCAATAGCAAGGATCCTCACTCGATTTTTCTCTCATAAATTTGCCCAGTCTCGTGAAGGTGGATGTATTTTTAGCGTCCGCATCCTCTGGGAAGGAATTCCTCAGCTGAACCATGCTGTGAGAAAACAAGGAGTCTTGTTTTTTTCATTTTTTTTCTTAAATTTGGTGTGTGCTTTTTTCAATCTGATGTTCCTTTATTTGGTACCCCTTCTAAAACAGGACTTGTTCACTTTAACCCACACTCTCAATGTCACTTAGGACTCTAGTACCCTCAGTCATGCTGAAGGGAGCTTCAATTCCTGCTTTCCCAGGCCAAAGGTCTCAGTCTGTGATACTTTTTCTTAAATGGTGGCCATTCCGTACCTGTGGTCGTCCTTACCAATTTTCTCTGTACTCATTCTATTTCAGCTGTTTCTGAGATGAGAGATCAGTATTTCACATGCTTTTCAAAATGCTGGAGTCATGGTTTTATACAATGGCATAATAACACTTTTGTGTTGGTCTGTGTTCCTAAACATTGCTGGTAATGCTGTTTCCCTTTCCCTTTCTGACTGTTACTGAACATTTTGCCAAAAACTCTATGAAACCCTGAGGATTTACTCCTCAGCAATACTGGTTAGGTTAGAGTCTGTCATTTCTATGTGAACTGGAATTCCTTCCTGTTTATATACATGGGGTTTTACTGGCCATCTCATTGACTCGGGATTCTGAAGCCCCACAGCTCTTTGCACTTAGTCAGAAACGTAAAGAAGAGGGCTAACTTAGTGGTGTCGGCAAACTGTCTATCCACCCTACTTCCTAGATAATTCATGAAGCCATGAGGCAACACACAGCCATAGAGGATACCTCCTGTTGTTAGGTTAGTGTTTTGGATTTGGTTTTTTTGTTTTAAAAAGGGCGGGG